ACGAGCGCAAAGACTGAAGATTAGAGCCATGGAGTTCGCAGTACGTAGCCTAAGGGATGTCCTTGAGCCTACTACTTCTCTGTGCTCCCTGTAGCCATCTGTAAGGTGCAGGACAGGGTCTAGGGGCGGGGTCTCTGCCCTGCCTTTCACAGGACACCTGTCCAGAGCCACATGTCCCTCTGGGGATGAGAACTGGAAAGGGCAACAAAGTTGGGGGATGGGGGGAGAGGTTGCACAGAGACACTCAGCCTTCCTGGTGCCTTGGGTTGGACGGCTGAGGTAGGGTTGTCCGCTGAGAACACAGGACAGACTTGGTTGTATTTGTTTAGGCAGAGGCTGAGTTTGGAATTGTAACCAGAATGATCTACTGTGTTTCCCCGAAAATAAGACATCCTCCGAAAATAAGACCTAGAGCATGGAAAGATAAGACATCCCCTGAAAATAAGACCTAGCGCAACTTTGGGGGGAAAAAATTAATATAAGACACTGTCTTATTTTTTTGGGAAACAGGGTAGATCAGTGGTCGGCAAACTCATTAGTCAACAGAACCAAATATCAACAGGACAACAATTGACATTTCTTTGGAGAGCCAAATTTTTTAAACTTAAACTTCTTCTAACACCACTTCGTCAAAATAGACTTACCCAGGCCGTGGTATTTTGTGGAAGAGCCACACTCAAGGGGCCAAAGTGGCTCATGAGCCACAGTTTGCCGACCACTGATCTAGATTAATGAATTTATTCTTCCAAAGGCCTGAGGGTGTAAGGGGCAGCCTTTTGAGTCCCCAGCTCCCTGGGCGGGTAGAGGGGCCGGGTGGGCAGTGGAGGGCCCAGCACTGTCCCAGGAGGCGTGGGCCTGGCTTCGGTTCCAGTTCTACCTTACGTCACAGAATGACCTCAGCTCCCCATCTGTGCAATGAGGGGGTGAACCTTGGAGAGCCCCAGCCCTGAGCTTGGGGGATCTGTTTGCCTTTCCTTCTTCATCAAGCCTTTTCCCTTCCTTCCGTAACTTCTCAGTCTTCACATTTTTTTCCTCATCCTTACCGATGGGAGACCTCCATTCTTTGGCTGGCTGGCCTCGGCTATTTCATGGCCAGGGCCACAGTTTTCTCAAAGGCGATGAAAGGATTTGACGAAGGGTCTCAAAGGCTTGCCCGTCTCTGATGCTCTAGTCTTCCTGGGAGTCCGTGTGAAAAGTCCCATGTGGTGCGCAGCCGGGTAGAGCTGGGTAATCTGGGCTGTGGCCACCCCATACACCCATCACAGGGGCCTCATCCCTCAGATGCCCCACCTGTTACTCACCTACTGGTCCACCACACTTCTCAGGAGCATAATGCTCTCAGGTTCTACCCATGCTGCTGCAAATGGTTAAGAATTCCTTCTTTTTTACAGCAGCGAAGTATTCCATTGTGTAGATGTACCATGTTTTTTTAATCCACTTACCTGCTGATGGGCACGCAATACATTTCTTAATATCTACAGTACTTCCTACACATTCTGTTCCTCTGGCTGACCAGTCCACTCTTCTTTGAGGCCTCGGGTTCGACCTGTAGTCGCCAGGTTATTTCTGAAGAAAACATGAAACTCGGCTCCCTGGTTCTCCATTCCTGACCCTCATGACCTTGACCATGTGTGGCAAACACTTCCGACCAGAATACGTTTGCCTCTACCTTCAGCCACATTCTGGCCAAGGCGAGTGAGGCTCTCGAACGCTTGCCTTGGCTGGGTTTCCATTACCTCACAAGTACTTGATCTTGGAGTTCTTTGTACATTTCGTTTTTTATCCAATGTTACCTTTCATAGCAGAATCTTGTAAAAAACCTCTTCCTGAGAATGGAATATTCCACCACGCTCATCATTTCAGTTAGCAGCTGTTCCTGAATCTAAAATAAAGACCCATGGCCATGTGGAGCTCAGCGTGTGAGTCCCCAGAGAACAGCAGGAGCCTGTGTCTGTGAGCTAAAGCAATCCTGCAAACGAGGGCCCGAGGCCTGGAAAGGGATCCTGGAAAGATGAAACCGAAGAACTCGGAGCCCTTTGCCTTTTCATTTCCAAGAACTGAGCTTTTAATCATCTCTCCCTTCGTCCTGCACACGTGAACGTGCCAAACATCTGGACTCCGATTTAAAACATTTGAAGAACGCAGATTCCGCCCGTGTTCCTCCCTGCCGGGCGAGCAGGGGATGGGCAGGACGTGCTGACCTTTTCCTTGCGGCCCATCACGTGGAGAAGATTGTCCCCTCCGGTCCCAGGGCACCTGTGCCCAGAAGACCCCTACTTTCAGGGGTTGAGGGGTGGGACTGGGGAGTGAGGGGGTCCCTTGCTCTAACACGGGCATCAGTGAACATGGCAGAGAAGACAGGCAACGTTTGCGGGGGTCCCCAGCTTTCAGACAATCCCAGGCCACGGGGCTCAGGGCTTGTGGCACTCCCGTGAGTGTGAGACTCAGGAAGGCTGCTGGCCCTGTCTGGTCAGCCGCATCCGTTCGCTTTGTGCTTCTGGCTGACGTGGAAGGGGGGCCAGTGGCTCCCTCCCCGGTTACTCATCCAGCTCTAGATCCGGGCAGCTGCTCAGGGCCTGTCTGGGCCTGGCAGGGATGGCAGGGGCGAGGCTGCCCAGCCCCTGAGCTGGCCCCTTGCAGGCCGCACCGATTCATCTGTCTCCTCCCACAGCTGGCAGCCAGGCAAGGAGAGCTCAGCTCCCAGCAGGGAGGCCATCACCCCTCGGACACCTTAGGCTTCTTGCCCTCGAGGAGGCAGCAAGCTCCTGACCTCACTGGGCCCCCTCCACAGGTCACATGGGTGTCTCTGGGAAACTAACAGTTCAGTGAGGTGTGGCTTAGCTGGCATTTGGGGTGTCGTGAGGGATGAGGCTGAGGAGCCGGGGCGGGGTGGGGGGCGGGGCATAAGGCATAATCACAATATAAATTTGTAACTCACCGGGGTGATACTTTGGGAAAACGTTCTTGTGCTTTTCCTTCTTGCCTTTCTGAGTATGTGATAGTCTCTAGTCCTCTCGAGCATTCGCTTCCATCAGGGAGAAGAAGAAGGAACACAGGAAGAAAACCTTAATATTCGCCTTTTGACATTCAAAATACGATTTTTACAGCTTAGCTGATATGTAGAGGATTGAAATACAATCACTGCGCATACCCAAAGTGTGCAGTTGGATGTGTTGACATATGTGCCCGTGTGTGAAGCAACTTTTTCTGGGAGGCGGGGGGACCGAACGTTTTTAATAGGTGTTTTTTCCTTCTTTTCCTTTTTTCTTCTTTCCAGAAAACCAGCATTTCCCGGTTTTATCATCAAGACAGAGAACGTATTCAGCACCCCAAAAGTTCCCTTGATCCCCGACTCGGCTCCCAGGCAACCACTGATTTGTGCTCTGTCCCTATAGACTAACTTGTTACTTTCTAGAATTTAATTTTTTTAATTTTTATTTTTTTAATTTCTTTATTGATTAAGGTATTACATATGTGTCCTTATTCCCCCATTACCCCCCACCCCCTATTTTCTAGAATTTTAGACATGTGCAGTATTTACACATGTTTTGCTTGGTTTCTTTCACTCTGCATATTATTATTTTTTTATATTTTCAAAAGAGAAAAAGGGAGGGAAAGAGAAACATTGATGTGAGAGCAGAACATTGATTGGCTGCCACCTGCACACCCCCTACTGGAGACCGAGCCAGAACCCAGGGCATGTGCCCTGACCGGGAATCGAACCAGCAACCTTTCGGTGCACAGGATGCCCAACCAAATGAGCCACACTGACCAGAACTCTGTGGTTATCTTGGGATGCACCCTTGATGTCACATGCATCAGCAGGCCATTCCTTTTTCTTGCCAAGTAACATTTCCTTGTATGCATATCCTACAATGTGCTTCTCCACCCCTTGATGACCATGTGGTTGTTTCTGGCTTGGAGCTGTGACAAATAAAGCTGCTCTGGACATTCGTGCTCAAGCCTCACAAAGAGGGAGGCTGAGGGGATGAGAGCTGAGGTCATTGCTGGGGTCACCCAGATAGTATATGCTTGCATTTCTCTTAGGGACATTCCTAGGAGTGGAATGGCTGTGTCCTGTGATCACTGTGCTTTTGTCTTTTAAGAGACTGTGAAACTTTTCTGAAATATACTCCTGCCCACAGGGCAGGACAATTCCAGTTGTTCTGTATCCTCGCCGAACACTTCCGATGGCCAGTTTTGTCATTTTAGCTGTCCTACTGGGTCTTTCATCATGATTGCAATTTGCACTTTCCTGATGACTAATAGCATTCAGAATAAGATTTGCAGCAAGATGTCACCCATGCTAGCCTGGCTACTGCTTGGGGTGAGGAATTCCTAAATTCCTTCAGACTGAAGCAGAACTCTGAGGTGGTTAGAACACGGGCTTGGCCTCAACAAGCACAGGGCAGCCACATCAGAGTGAGATTGCTGGCAAGGTGGGGTGGGCAGGGACGAGGCCAGCGTGTGCTCCCGAGGGGACGGCATCCCAGACTGGGAGTCCCCCTTGTGCCGTGGGGTGGATGGCCCGGGCCAGGGTGCGGGAAAGATGGGGCCGAGCCCCGAGAAGTCCACGGGCTCCACCTCACAGGGAGGTTCACTTTGCAGTCCAGTATGGCCTACTCGCTTCTTGGCCCGAGGAGACGGAAGATGACATAGGTCTCAGAGGTATTGAACCCCGCCCTGAGGAATCTCTTCCTGGTTACAGAACAGACTCTGCCCTGACACTTGCGGTTTACTCAGCTGTGTTAGAGACCCCCCACGCCCCCTCCTCGGGGGCCAGGAGAGGAAACTCGGCCTGGGTTGGACAGGGAAACCCCGTGCTCTGCCAAATCTAAAAACAAAAGGGGGGGAGGGGGGAGTGGGTGTTGCAGATTCATGATGAACATATGGTAGTAGTTAGCAGCGTGCTGTCATTTGCCAAGTCATTCCAGAACCCTCCAGCCCTCCCTCCTTTCCCCCACGCTCCTACTTCCCCCTTCCCCCCTCACTCTGGGCTGGCTTGATCCCCTACTTCCCCATCTCATCCTGACCACCACGCCCACCCCTTCATCACGCGTGTTCACGGAAGTAAACAGAACCCCAGCCCCCACAGCCACTCACATTGCAAAGCTTTGTTATTTGGTTTTGTTGGACTTTCTTTGGGGAGGTGGGGGGAACGAATGTTTTTAATAGATTTTCTTTCTTCTTTCCCCTTCTTTCCAGAAAATCAGCATTTCCTGGCTCAGGGTGCTGTGGAGAATCCAACCTAAATCTCAATAAAATCAAAGGGAAAAGTTAAAAAATAAAAAAAATAAAAGAAGAAGAAGAATTTGTTCCCCTGGTCAACTGTCTTTTAAAATGTAAGTTTGGTCCCCCCCCCCCCATGTAAATTATAACTAAAATCTCATTTCCTTCCTGAATTCCTTTAAGAGGTGGAAGCACATTTTTGTCATGTTTGAGAAAAGCAGGTGCATACCTTCCCAATCTCGCATCACGTGTGTTGGGCACCACATTTCAAAAGACAAATATGTCACCATGTAGAATGGAGACAAATGCTCCTCCAGGGGAAATGGAAGCCAGTTTGCTTGCAGCCCATGGCACAAACTCAGGGCTCCCTGAGCTGTCCCCCAGCTGTGACACAAACCCACCGCATGGCCAGCATCCGACTGGGACCCTCCGTATCACCCTCTTGGGACTCAAGCGGCAAGAAGACTCGGCACAGCAGTGAGCGCCTGCTGCCTGCCGGCCGTGCTGGGATGAAGTCCTTGTCTGTGGTCCGGGAGTCACGAGTCTTATGTCCGCACCCGTGACACTGCAGCAGGCCACGTCCCCGGGTGACAAGTAAGATTGTTATTGGTGCCGCTACAGTTCCTGACACGCACAGAGCCTTGTACCCCGCAGCAGACGCTGCCCCATCCTCTCAAGCGAAGCAGGGTGTGTGTGTGTGTGTGTGTGTGTGTGTGTGTGTGTGTGTAAGTTGCTCAGCAGAGTTGCTGCAGCGTTTGCAACGCTGGGACCCACTGAGCTGGACACAGGCTGCTCCTGGGCTGCTCCCCGCCTCCAGGGCTTTCCACATCCCCGGTGGTTCTCAGTTCTTCTCGCAAAGGGGGCGGCCCAGGGGAAGACAGCTGAGGTCGGTGGTGGGGTCACTCAGCTACAAGCGGCAGAGCCTGCTCGGCTGAGGTCTCCTGTCTCGAGTGGAAGTGTTTCTTCCACGTATTTGGGTGACCGCAGCGAAGGAGATGCCTGTGGAGGGAGCCAGGTGCCCAGCCGGCGGAAATCCGAAGATGTTTCTGGTCCCCACGGGTCTTCAGGAAAGGCACACGAAACGGAACGAAAAGGGCAAATTTCTTGTTCTTGATCCAGGGAAAATTATATATCAGAGAGAGAGAGAGAGAGAGAGAGAGAGAGAGAGAGAGAGAGAGAGAGAAACATCAATAATGAGAGGGAGCCATTGATTGGCTGACTCTTCCCACTGGGGATCCAGCCAGCAACCCCGCCACGTGCCTTGCCTGAGAATCGAACTGTGACCTCCTGGTTCACCGGTCAAGGTTCAACCACTGAGCCATACCAGCCAGCCCGGGGCAAATACTATCTGAGGCGTTTGGTAATACCTACCCAGTGACCCTCTAGAACAGTGTTTTTCAACCTTTTTTGGGCAAAGGCACACTTGTTTCATGAAAAAAATCACGAGGCACACCACCATTAGAAAATGTTAAAAAATTTAACTCTGTGCCTATATTGACTATATATAAAGTAATTCTCTTGAATAGGAATCAAATAAACACAAAGAAAGTATTTTATAATTACTTTATTATGAAATATTAAGTAAACAAAATAGTGAAAAATTATAAAATTCTTGTCTTGTCTGCACCTACGGCACACCAGGCAACATCTCGCGGCACACTAGTGTGCCGCGGAACAGCGGTTGAAAAACGCTGCTCTAGAAAACGTTGCCTTGGTTGACCCTACGTATCCATGGTTACAGTTTTCAGTCTAGTAAGTGGAAACTATTCCTTAACCAACTCAACTGGTATGGAGGACAGAGGGAGGTGAGTCCTGTGCTCTCGGAGCTCCCAGTCTGGTGGGGGATGGCGGTGGGGGGGAGGGTGATGTGTCCCCAAACACCAGGGAAACACAACCCGTAACTAATCCAGCTGCCGGAGGGGCCTCCCGGAGGAGCTGACGTCCGAGGACCGAGCGGGGTCTAGATCACGTTGTCAGGTGGAAAGGGAGCAGAGTCTCAGCTTCCCGTAGGCCGGTGCCGAGGTGTAGGGTTCCCCTGGCCGTTCTGGAGCCTGGCCACCCTCGCCTCTGCCAGGGACCCAGATTTGACCCCCGTGCTGCTCTGGTCTTATCTGGGAGGTGGCAGTGGTGGTGCTGGTTGTAAAGGTGGTCCCCTATGTCCTCAGGGTCCGGGTGGGGGTCTGTTAGAACAGTTGTGAGGGTTTTTTTTAAATTGATTTTAAATATATATACATATTATTGATTTTTTACAGAGAAGAAGGGAGAGGAATAAAGAGTCAAAAACATCAATGAGAGAGAAACATTGATCAGCTGCCTCCTGCACACACACACACACATACACACACACACACACACACACCCATTGGGGATGTGCCCACAACCAAGGTACATGCCCTTGACTGGAATTGAACCTGGGACCTTTCAGTCTGAAGGCTGGCGCTCTACCCACTGAGCCAAACCGGTTTTGGCTGATTCTTTTTATTGATTAAGTTATTACATATGTGTCCATATCCCTTTATTGTCCCCCCAACCCCACTCCTGTACATGCCCTCACCCCCCTGCTGTCTGTGTCCATTGGTTATGCTTATATTCATGCATACAAGTCTTTTGATTTCTCCCCATCCTCTCCACCCTTCCCTCTGAGGTTTAGTTGTGAGGGTTTTTGTCGAAGCATCCAGGGACCATGGTTTCAGAATGAACGTGAAGGCGACCACTGTGTGCAGGCAGGCAAGCCCAGACAGAGACGGCGACTTCCAAATCTCCTCAGATCTCCAGACTCCTACACCCCACCCGGCGGGAAGCGGGGATTGAGGACTGCAGCGGGGGCATCAGCACTGCCAGCAGCTGAGGCCGATCCCTTCGCCTGAGCTTCCCCAGAGACATCCTACAGGCCTGGAAGCCAGGGTGGAGGGTGGGGGGAGCTCTCTGAGGCTGTCTTCCCAGCCAGGACTCAGAAAGGTTTAACGGAAAAGAATGAGAGAAACGGACCAGGGTTGAGGTGTGGGCAGAGTTCAAGGAAGTCAAAACCCCTGGAGCCAGCATCGGAAGCGTCTGGAGGGACCGGGGGAGGGGCCTGCCCGCCTGTGTTGACGGAAAGGGGCCACATGAGCTCAGGGGAGGCCTGCATGGTGGCCTTGTGAACTCAGAGACCGGAAGCAACCACAAAGAATGGCTGAAATGCAAACCCGTTTGAAAGAGCTGCTTACAGTGGGTAGTCCTGTCCTAGGCCAGGATCTCCCCCGACAAAGATCTACTTGGATCTTTACCGAGCTGTTGTCTCTTGGCATCTAAGATCACATACCTGCGGCATGTCAGGGTAACGTGTAACTTCCCTCCTTCCAGACCCCGCAGGGCACAACCCCCCAGGGCCACAGACCACCAATCCCCTCCTCATGATTGTCACCATGTTAGTCGTTGACTGTTAACTACCTGCACCCACCCACGTAAGAGAAGCATGTGTCTGTCATTCTACCTTTTCTCCAATCCCCAAGGATCTCCCCCGCCTTGCTTTCTCCCACCTCCCTAATCTAGCTCCAAGGGATTTCCTGTTACCTCCTACGGCTCCTCCTTTGATGGTCATTTAGAAAAGTGTGTGAAGAACCACCATCCTCCAGAGCAGGGGTCCTCAAACTTTTTAAAGTGGGGGCCAGATCACGGTCCCTCAGAGAGCTGGAGGGCCGGACTATATGAACTACTAATTCCTACTGTAGCACCTCGGCTGCGCTCACTGCCCAAAAAACCTGGCGGGCCGGATCAGACTCCTCTGCAGGCCGCATGTGGCCCGCCGGCCGTAGTTTGAAGACGCCTGCTCCAGAGCATTCTTCCCATATGTTGAGATTCTGCTTCTCGGCGATTGTTGACAGTTTGGCTCAAATAAACTCACAAAAAAATTTTATAGGTTTGAATGTGGTGGGGTTTTTTTGTTTGTTTGTTTGTTTTTACATTAACACCTGCAAAGAGGGAGGGAGAGAGAGAGGGAGGGAGAGGGAGAGAGAGAGAGAGAGAGAGAGAGAGAGAGAGAGAGAGAGAGAGAGAGAGAAGAAATGGGGTGAACACCTAGCTCTTACCCTCTTCCTGCCCGGCCCATTGGCCAAACCCAAGTGGGAGCCAGAGAGCATGGCACTCGGGTCACACAATCCGTGTCTGCCAGCCTTCCAGGACAGGTCAGGGCAGAGAACAGAGAAGGGTGGAAATGGGACCTAAAGGGAGAGAATGGGGGCCGTAGGAGGAGAAGCCACGCTCAGGGAGAGAGCTCACAAATCGGTGGGGGATACAGACTCCACGGGATCCCCACGGTCCTCCCTAAAATAGGCCGGGAGGCTGTGCTGTGCGGGGTCCTTCCGCCCGTGAAAAAGGATGCCACGTATCTCTCAAGGGTCCTGCCCGGCACCTAAGTGGGTCCCGGGTTTCAGCTGAGGTCAGCAGGCGCCCCCAGGGCTGCAGCAGGCCTGCAGCCGCACACAGGGGTCCTGGTCCTCAGAGCCGACGCCACCTGAGGTCACCCCCCGGGGCCAGGTCCCCTGGCCTCACCCGTGGCCAGAGAGAGACAGCTGCGTGGTCACAACAACCGCGGAGGGAGACCTCGGAGGCCTCCAGGCCGTGCGTCACGTACTCCGCCCTGCACGTCAGCCACAGACGTGTCCTCAAGTCACTCTCGGTTCCCCCGGCGACCTGCGGGCTCTGCCGTCCTGGCCGGTATGGAAGCACCTTCTCCGTTTGCCACGAGGCCTGCCGTGGGGCCCGCCCTAGATCTATTTCTCAGCCCCATCTTGCAGAGAGCTCAGCTCTGTAAATGTTGCATGGGGTAGATCAAATCTTCCCAGCAAGCCGCCCTCCCCTGAGCAATGTGAGCCACCTGCTCAGGGTGTTTATCTGATGCATTCCTGTCCCTCAGCCCTCCAGGCAAGGCCCAGGAGCCAGCTGTCTCAACTCTCCTCCCCTCCCCCTCCCCCCGCTTCCCTGCAGAGTGACCTCTTGGCCCCGGTTAGGGTGGCTCTGTGGTTTGTGTTCCCCGGCAGAGGGGTGGGCAAGATGCCTCTGATCCTCCCTGGTGTCCACGGGTGTACCTCCGGCCTGGCCTGGCCTGGCTCCGAGCGTGGGTTTCAGTGAGGTGGCCGTGTGGGGAGCCCCGGAGGTCTGCCCGGAGGGGGTCTGTGTCTGTGTGGCCGGGCCGTTGCTAATATGTTTGTTTTGAAAAGCCCAGGTGAGGTCTGTGCTGGGTGGTCTGGGACAGAGCCGAGCCCACACCCAGCCCGACGTCAAAACAGGAGCCGTCTGGGCCCAGGGTCCTCAGACGCCCCGTTGTATCCCGGGGGTCCGGGTGTGTGAGCTGTGTTCCGGGCTTCCTCAATGGACCGGTTCAGCCCCACCCCTCCCGCCATCCACCTCAAAGCCCCAGGCCGCGGGTCCCAGGCATCCAGGAGTGGTCAGTGGCCGTGGCCCAGGAGGAACCAGCCAAAGCCAGCCTGGTCCTGCCAGGCGGTAGCCCTGGGAAGAGATCTCGGCTCTCCTAAAGAATTGGGTGTGTGCCAGGGACTGCGGGAGGGCCTGGCGCCCTTGCCCCAGAAATGCCCTGACCCAGGCTTACCTCCCAGTAACCACGTCATCGGCAGATAAAGCTTGTACTTAACGCATCAGCCAAGTTGGGTCACGTGCACAGGAAAGATAGAGGCACGGGTGGCCGAGCACATCATCAGCATGATCGTGGCCACTGTGCTGTTTTCTTTACGAGAGGCTCTGGGGCCTTGAACGTCCAGATCTGGCCCCAGAAGCCCACCCTGCTCAGAAGGCCGACCCGCAGCAGCTCGCTCTGTCTGCCCGTCTTGTGGCCAGTGGCCCGTGGCCCGTGGCCTGTGTCAGAGGCCGCTGAGCTCAGGCCCCGTGACATTTCTGAGCTCTGCCCTCCGCAGGCCCCGGGCCCGGACTGAGAGGACAAGTGGGTACGACCTGTTCCCGGCCTCCAGGGCTCCCAGCCTCAGGGGGAGGCCGACACATACAATCAAGGAAAATCACAGTAATCACTGCTTTTGGGAATGCGTCCTCTGTGCCAACATTCTGACGCAGAGCATGCCTGTTCCTCCTGACTCCCCGAGACACCATCTCCCAGGAC